AAATGTGCTTTGTTGAAATTATTATAACAGGAGAATTACTACGAGTCTCTTTTGCAGATATTGTATGATATTTATATTTCGTAAACCGGAAGCTGCGTGAAGACTACCAGAACGCTCTTCCACTGCAGCGTGCACGCGAATACGCTAGCATAAGCTCATTTTTTTAGCTCTTATGTGCTATCGTGCGTGTGTGTATGTATGCATCGAGATGAATTTTCGGATACGCGACAGCAACTACGTCTAATTTAATTCATTAAGCAAAATTATAGTCCTTTTTTTTTCTTGACATTAAAAGAACAATTAAAATAATAAGTATAATTGTCTAACATTACAATATTATTTTTGCAATTAAAAGCCAATTAAAGCAATTAAACAAACTTTCAGGATTTAGGCCAAACTCGGAATTTGATTATAATGTGCCTATGATGTAGGCACAGTTCTTTATTTTTACTCAATTACACATTACTTAAATTTATCTCTGATTCAAATCCTGATTATAATCCTTTTGATTACAATTTAGCTTTCGTAATACTATATTTGTCATATTTGAAATTATATATAATAAATAGAGAAAATCGAGAATCTTAAGATTTTTATAATTCATGTAATTCACGCAATTGTGGATTTTGTCTGTACTTACGATATGTTTTATGGGTTTTTATTTTCAAATATAAATATAATGTAAATATGCGCAAAGCGTATTTAAACAACGTGGCTTCCGGTTGCTGGTGCGTACCCGGCGTGATGGCCCGGAGAAGAGGCCTGATGCTCGACTACCGCCGTTCGAATGCAAGTTGTGCCCGTTCCAGGAGCTCGCGCACAAGCTCTCGCGGAGCTTCGACATGCAGGAGGCACAGCTGTTGGAGGAGGGTGGCACCGGCAGCGGGATCGCCGTGGGTGGGACCGCGGGTGGCCCGCCGCGGCGGCATCACAGCGTGCAGCGGCTGGCCCGCAGCGAGATGTCGGAGCGGCGAGAGGAGGACGGCGCTCTGGTGGTGCCCGATCATCAGGGTAACCTGCGGATCACCGTGAAAAAGACCAAGTCGATTCTGGGCATCGCCATCGAGGGCGGCGCCAACACCAAGCATCCACTGCCCCGGATCATCAACATACACGTGAGTGTTTCCGTTTCGACGTTGCTGGAGAGGATAAATTGAAGCCAGGCCTGGCAAACACTGGATTAGAAGGGAAATTGAAGCTGGGGCACGTTGGGCCAAAGTTAGAATTGAGAGGGAAGATTGGATTAAAGGGAAGCTAGAGCGAAGCTAGAGAATGCTCCGTGCTGTGGTGCAAAAATAAAACTAAGGGATGTACGTACATAGGGGTGGAGATTACAGTAAAGTCACACAGATTACTGGATTAGATTAGATGGAAATTAAAACGAGACCGGGGAAAACTTCAAAGTTAGAGAAAAGTTAGAGAGTAAAGTTAGTAGTGTTGTTTTAGAAAGTCATTAGGGTCAAGCGATAAAGTTAATAATTACGGGCATAGTAATATTTGACATAATTATATATTCGCTTTATCAAAATGTAAATCAATAAAGTGTTTATATTTTTTGAGCTTATTTCAAGTAATCTCGTTAATTAACAACTGAATCCTTATCCTTAGATATTCAACCTTGAAAATTACAAAGAAAAGCATATCGCATATCTTATCTCAAGATGAGAAATACAAATCTTGTTTATGTGGCATCTTATAGGCATGGAACGGAGAACGCTAATGATGCTAATTAACATTTCCTTAATGAGATGCATTATGACAAAATATATTTTTTATGTTACGCCACTTACGATGCCAAGCGTCTAATTAAAATGAAGCTTGACTCCACTCCGAAACGCGCGATTAATATGCGTCGGGCGAATTTATCGCCGATGCCATTTACGATGGCATAAACAATATTATCCTATAAACGTGAGTAACGCGTGTGGTAATTCGTTGCAGGACAATGGAGCAGCTTACGAGGCAGGCGGCCTCGAAGTCGGACAGCTCATCCTCGAGGTCGACGGTCAAAAAGTCGAAGGTAACGCTAGCAAAATCAAAATGTAATCTATGCAAAATATTTTACACATTTTATTCCGATAATTCCGATTTACTGATTCTAAGAACCAAGTATCAAAGAATAAAATATTTTAGAATTGAACCAATTTAATCGTCGTAAAAAAAAATTGACAATAAATTCAATTCCGTACAAAAATAATTAGACTTTTTGAAGAAAAAAAAAAAAAAAAACAGTTTTTTTAAGCAGTGATAATCAATGTCGAATCGAGGAATAAATGCTGAATTTCTTCTCTGTTTTTGAGCGACGATTAATTTCTCGATTATTTGCAGGACTTCATCATCAAGAGGTCGCACGATTGATCGCGGAGTCGTTCGCGCGTCGCGACCGAAACGAGATCGAGTTTCTGGTGGTGGAAGCGAAGAAGAGCAACCTGGAACCGAAGCCGACGGCGCTGATTTTCCTGGAAGCGTAGCAGGAATCTCCCACCTCCGAGCCGGAACCACCATAGCCCAACCTGACCAAAGCTCGGCCGGCGGTGATCCAGCTCGAGCGTCGCCGCCGTTAAAGAATCCGATCGAGAGAGACCAAACCGTCCGGATCGTCCGACTCCCAGAAGATCCGACTTTGGATTTCGAACAGCCTCGAAGGGACGAATAATTCCCCTCGAGTTCTCGACTCGGACGGCCGAGCTGTCGGTCAGCCGCTAATTGATTAACCTGGCCTTGGTGGTGGGAACTTCACTTCACCCGCTGAACGAAACAACATTTTGCAAACACGAAGGGGGCGAGGACGATGGAAGGGGGGAAGGGGGGGCGAGAGATTCCGGGCCGGCGTTGCCAGATTCCTGATTCTAGCTCTCGAAAAGACACAACGCGAAAAGACTCCAAAACGCGAAAAGCGCGTTAGCGAGGAAACAAGAGAAGATCGTAGAAAGGTTCCTGGTCTCCCGTGCCGAAGTAGCCAAAGTCGCCACCCACTCGAACTTTCCTCCCCTCGACCGGCCGGCGGTCACCCGCGAAATCCGCGAATCAGCACGGGACCGCTCGTGAGGAAGTTACTCTACTGTATATATACAATATATATATATACCGCTGTACATATTCTTGTAACAGACGCAGTTCGATAGGAAGCAAATAGCCGTACACTTTGAGAGTGCCGGGTACACTCGGTACACTCGGATGTTTCCTGGCAAACCGCCGGTCTCAATCTCTCGAACTGTTCATCAAATTAATTGCGCGATCATCGTCACGAACCACGCGAACGCAACGAATGCCGCCATCCCTCGGAGAGGACTCTTGGGGATGAAGCGACGAGAGAGGAAGAGAGAGGAGGATCGTATATATTTTATTTTTTAACACCGTCTCTGCGTCGACACGGTTACTTCACGGTGAGAAAAAAACGGGGAGAAAACGAAAATGAAAAAAAGGGTCGCGCAATGTGCCAAACTAACTAACGCAAGTCGTTTACGTACTACTATAATAAATACTATAATAAAGCTACTAATCGATAAGGGATCGCGATTCGAGAGAGGGGCGGGGGGAGAATAAATTCGGCGAAATTCGGCAACGAGAGCAGGGCGGACCCTACCCAGGTGCTCACACATGGTGTAGTTGCGTGAACGATTACCTCACAGACACATTCGCAGATACATACCCACGTTCAACACAGATATTATATTCGCGTGAAATCCGAATTTCGACGGCGCGAGATCGCGTCGGCTCGAGCGCAGATTAATCACGCCGCCGTTGATTAACTTATGAGAGTTACGGGTGGTGTTTGTATCCGAAAGGTAGAAAGATAAGTGTTTGTATCCGAAAGCTCATTTCAGAGAAACTTTCTCAACAAACTCCGGAAACGCCCTTTGTAAACGCGCAAATTTTAATCAGAATTAAATTGCATAGAATTAAATAATAGAGGGAAGAAGGCGGATTAAATTGAATTGAATTGCAAAAGTGTGTAATTAAATATGTGGAAACAAATAAATGAAATTTGTACAAAGAAAATAACGTAAGAATTTTGTCATACTTAAGAAGCTTTTTCTACTTAGGAAAAAAAAAAAAAAATCATTGTCTAAAATTTACAATTTTTTAATGACACGGTTTTGCTCTTTTCATTATTGTATTTTTTTTATTTTGGGAGTCGAGTATCGGATGCGTAGTTTTAATTGACATATATCTAGACAACTTCCTTCTACCTTTCGGGTGCAGTTTCGTTGATCAAGATTTTCGTTAATTCGAGTGATTAGGTGTCGTCCTCGAAATCGCGCCTAATACCGCTTAATAGTCTGTTAAATGTTACTGTATAGATTAACGTTGACGTAGTTGATAGACGTTGATCAGACGTCACTAGGACGTTACGCGTTGATTGTTTATTGCGTTGTCAGTTGTGTGTTAGAAGATTTTAATCCCTCGGGCACGCGATATACTCGCGAACGAATATACTCACACGCAATTTTTTTCAACTTAATTCAATTACGTTAACGTATCAAATTCCACAATAAGATACTTGGAATCGAAGAAAAAGTAATATTTAATTCTTCAATTTTTTGCAGAAATCAATCTGCCAAAGTGGTGGTCGATTTTGCCAACGATATCTGAAAATTCTCATCATCTTTCTTAGTTTATCCTCTAACCAAGTCTGTGATATAAGCTAATTATTAGATTGAAAAGAATCGAAGTTTAAGAAATATTCAGAAAGATATAATTTCGAAGACATTCTCGTGTACGCGACAAATATAGCGTGGCCTGAGGAAGGGTTAATGATAATATTTTTTTGAGTCCGTCGAGTATGGCCGAAGTGCGTCGATGATCGTCATCGAGGCGGAATTAACGACGATCTTGACCGAGATCGAGACTATGGCGTCGACTTGTTACGTTGCGAACGTTGTTGAGGCTTAAAAAAAAAGTATATTACTCACGTACACACTATGGGTACACATACATATTTATACATGTACATATAAGTATTATGGTATGAAAAAATTACCGTAGTGGAATTGCAAATCGTACCTAACTACTGGGCGTCAAGCGTCTCGCCGAAAGAGGAATAATTTAAAGATAAAAAAGGAAAATATAAAAAAATAATAAAAAGGCGGTATTTTCGAAGAGAAAACTATATAAGCTTAGAGATGCATACGCATAGTAAGGGCCTGATCGAGTTCGAATTCAAGCGGGAAATCGCGGAGGATCCTTTGCACAATTAGGATCTCGAGGAAAACGAGGAATCTTTGATTCCGGGAAAAAGACGTTCATGTAGAAGGTAGAGAAAAATTTTTAAATTTTCTCAATTTTAATTCCAGCCCGTCGTGTTTCCTGTTCGCAGATTTTTCAAATATTTACAGATTTTTACACCAACAAAACTTCAATTCACTTCCTGTCCTTTCTTCTTCGCAATTGTCTGGATATTATTGATAATATCCAGAAAAGCAAGAATTGTTCTTTTTCCTCGGATCAAAAAAAAAACCTATTGAAAATTCATGCGAGTAGTAAAAATTACTAGTCGACAAGTACATCCCGTTCTTGCGCGTAAGCATGATTTCGATAAATATTATCGCGTTACATGCAAATATGCCCGTTTCTAAAACAAAATTCCGAAGATATATAAAATTCGTTAAGTATTATCTTCGTATAGGTAAGCGACATAGAAATAGAACAGGAATTGAGTAGCGCGTATAAATGACAAGCGTACCGCGACTATTTTAATACGCTGGTCACGCAATCTGTGAAACGAATTCGACTCGATCGTCCGCGATTTTGCCGCGATTAAAACAAAGGAAAAAAAACTGTTAAAACTGTAGAATATACGCGTGCGAACAATTGTGCTGTTGTATGAATGCCAAATCGAGCGATGCCACAAGCGAGCGAAGAAAGAAACATTTAATCCGTATTATCCGGGCAATTAATTCCTGGCTACTGTGATACGGTACGATGGATATTGTTTATAAACGTATATAAAATATTCGTCTTTACTCATAAATTTTATTCCCATAAATATACACATAAAAATACACATTTTCATTCCATTGATTGAGCAGCATTATTAATGGCCAATATTTTTTTAAAGTTGTTATTTAAATAGAGACAGAAGCTATTTGCTCAGAAATATTCATTTTAATTTTTCAATTTTCCAACTTTTTATTAAAAACCATAATAAAATTTAATATAAGAGTTTGCGTTAAAATTATTTGTCTGAAATTATCACAGAGTGACAAAAGGATTTATAATTAACTTTTTGAAGATCTCATTGAAGAAGAATCTATCTATTTAAACGCACATTATCACATCGCAAGGATTTAATTGCCTTAAGATTTCAATGCAAATGTGCCAAAAAGTTTTGCGCTTAATCCACATCCATCAACGACAACGGCGGCTTCAACATCTACATCGTCATGTATTGCGCGGAAGAAGGAGAACAAGTGGAGGGGACACTGAGAACTGAGAAGGATTTCCCGGACAGCACATTTGAAATCTCTTTTCTTCGCTATTCTTTTGTAGCGCGCACGGGAGCACGATAAGTCGCTTTAATCTACTATGTCGCGGCGAAAGAAACAGTAGAAAAGTATCGAGAGAGAAATGAAAGCGAAGAGCGAGACGAGCTAGCTAGAGACGAAACGGCGGGAGAGACCCACCGTTTGCGTTTCTCCCGTTTCCTCCTCGGGAAACGAGAGGAAAGAGGGAAAATTTGTCGTGCGTCAGATCGGCGAAAATCGTCGATAGAATCGAAGCGCCAGAGAGACTCGAAAGACGAGAAAGGACGAGGGGGGAGGGGGGGGTGGATTTCGTGGATTTCGAAAAGCGACGAGGGAGAGATGTGCTACGAGACGGGGACTTGGCAGATAAAATAAGATGAGATATTTTTGTAAAGCTTTCGATGTTATACCGCAGAAATCCCAGAAATGTTTCCAAGATCTCAGCTGACATATCCGACAATGCCTTATCGCTTTTAAAAAAAAAATCGAAAACTATCGGGGAAACGTGTTACAGCGCGAGAGGAATAAAGAATCGAAAATCGTGAGACACACCTGACACACAACCCCAATCCATTTCCCGCCTTCCGAGAGAAAACAAATCGCAGAGACACTCGGTTAAACGCTTAAAAGGATGATCGTGATAACGCAGTCTTAATAATCATGCTAGATCTACCCATTCCGTTTCCCTTTTCTTCTCTCAATAAGATCATACCGATATGATATTATTTAAGCGGCGCGACGTGAAGAGAAAAACGTCCACGGGACATGAGCGAATCGAATCGAATAATTAATTGAGTCAAGTCAGTGTTGGTAATTCTCTAATTTTGACGTCACGACACACGTGCTTACTTTCGCACGGCGAAAGCACGCACGTGTTATTATTTTCAACCCGCGAAGGTGCGCGATTTTTTTTTTTTTTGGTTCCGCACTGATTAACCACTACGCTCCAAATCCCGAGTGAGTCCCGAGTGAGCTCTTAATCTTCCTTAATCGACATCCTTTTCTTAAGAGCGAGTGAGACCTAATTTTCCTGACTCTTCCTCGCTTTCGATGAAAGAGTACAATTACGTTCAGATTTTAAATCGTGGGAGTCACTTTTCCGAAGAGAAGAGTCAAGTTACATAAAACAAATTTTATAATCTCATTAGTTTCATTCCCGTTTCGTTCTCTTTTGTGGGATAACAATCTTTCTTCGACACACAAAGCCCCGATCCCGGTTTAACGCATAAGCTCGTACTCCACGTACAAAGAATAAAAAAAAAGGAGATCTCGAAGAAACAAGGGTATCTCACGTGGCGCGTCGTCATGTCGTCCGAAATATAAGA